GCATGAGTGCAGGAGGGGCAAAGGACAAGTGAGAGAGAGAGAATCTCGAGAAGACTCTACACCCAGTGCAGAGCCTGATAAGAGGCTCAATCTCATGACCACAAGATCATGACTTGAGCCAAAATCAAGAGCTGGAGGCTTAATTGACTGAGCCACCCAGGCCCCCCTGCTTTCAGCACTTTGAATAGAGCATGCCACTCCCTTCTAGCCTCTAGTAAAGTTTCTGCTGAAAAATCAGTTGATAACCTTACGGGGTTTCTCTTGTATGTAACTGTTTTGTTTTGATGTTTTTAAGATTCTCTCTTCATCATTACTTTTTGCCATTTTTAATATGTGTCTTTGTGTGGACCTCCTTGGGTTCATCTTGTTGGGGCAGTATGTGCTTTCTCGACCTGGATATCTGTTTCCCATTCCAGATTCGGGAACTTTTCAGCTATTATTCTTCAAGTAAGTTTTATGTCTCTCTGTCTCCTTCTAGGACCCCTATAATGCAAATAATGTTACACTTGATGATGTTACAAAGGTCCCTGAACTATTCTCATTTTTTAATATTTTTCTTTTTTTCTGTTTGGCTTGGTTGCTTTTCATTACATCACTGACCCATTCTTCTGTGTCCTCTGATCTGCTATTGATTCCCTCTAATGTATTTTGCATTTCAGTTACTGAGTTTTTCAGCTCTTTTTGGTCCTTTTTTTTTTTTTTTTTTAATGTTTATTTATTTTTGAGAGAGCGCACACAAGCAGTGGAGGCTACAGAGAGAGAGGAAGACAGAGGATCCGAAGTAGGCTCTGCACTGACAGCAGAGAGCCCACTGCAGGGCTCAAACCCATGAACCATGAAATCATGTCCTGAGCTGAAGTCGGACGCTTAACCGACTGAGCCATCCAGGCACCCCTGATTCATTCTTTTTTATATTTTCTATCTCTTGGTTGAAGTTCTCACTGAGTTCATCCACTTATAAGTCTGTTGAGTATCTTTATTTATTTATTTTCTAAGTATTTATGTGAGAGAGAGACAGACAGATAGATGGTGCACGGGCAGGGGAGGGACAGAGAGAGACAGAGATGGAATCCCAAGCAGGCTCTAGGCTCTGAGCTGTCAGCACAGAGCCTGACGCGAGGCTTGAACTCACAAGCTGTGAGATCATGACCTGAGTTGAAGTCAGACGCTTAGTTGAGGTGCCCCTGTTGAGTATCTTTATGACCATTACTTTGAACTCTTTATTAGGCATATTGCTTATCTTGGTTTCATTTAGCTCTTTTTTTTGGTGATTTTTGTCTTGTTCTCTCATTTGGGACATTTTTCTCTGACTCCTCGTTTTGTCTCTGTTTCTCTGTGTTAGGTAGGTCAGCTACATGTCCTAGTCTTGAAGTAGTGGCCTTGGGGAGCCTGAGTGGCTCAGTCGGTTGAGCATCCAACTTTGCCTCAGGACATGATCTCGCAATTCGCGGGCTTGAACCCCTGTGTCTGTCTCTGTGCTGACAGCTCAGAGCCTGCTTTGGATCCTCTGTCTCCCTCTCTCTGCCCGTCCCCTGCTTGTGTGTGTGTGTACGCGTGTGCTCGCTCTCTCTCTCTCTCTCTCTCTCTCTCTGAAAAAAAAACATTAAAAAAAGTAGTGGCCTTGTATAGAAGAGGTTCTGAGATGCTCTGTAGCTCAATCCCCTGGTCACCAGAACCAGGCAGTTCCATGAGTGTCCTCTGTGTGGGCTGTTTGTGCCCTCCTGTTGTGGCTGAGCTGTGATTGATACAGGCATGCTGATAGGTTGGACTGTTCCAGGTCCAGCTGGTTTCAGTAATCTGCTGTTTACTATAGGTGCACTGGACGGGTTTTGCTCTTGGTGCTGTTAGATGCCCGACTGTAGCTGCTATAGACTTTACAGTTGGTGGAGTCAGTCCTCATGTTGGCTGTCTGCAGTTAACTGCTCCTGACAGCTACAGGCACACCAAAGGGCACGGCTTCTCCCAGCACAGCCAGCTAAGATCCTGGCTGCAGGAATTGATGTGTTATTTTTGTGGGGTATCTCCCTCCATTCCCACGATAGGAGTCACTTTGGAGGGGTGCTGGTCCTGCCCAGGGCTGCCTGCTGGCTGTAGCTATTTTCGAAGGGAGAAAATATAACTATTTTCCACGGGAGGTCTACAGGGAGAAAATGTAACTATTTTCAATGGGAGGTCTACAGGGAAATGCAGCTGCGGGGCACACAAGTGTTAGCAAGGGAGACGGATAGTGTTAGAATTTGCTTCTTGCATGTCTCTAGCTCTTCAGACTGGGGGAGGGGAAAAAAATGGCACCCATTAGCACTTTTGTTCCAGGAGAACTCTCCTGCAGGTACCTGCACCTTTGGCACATGTCCTGGCATTAATTAGTAAATACTTTCATGCATACCCTAGGCACTTTCAAAGTGCTGCTTCTGTGCGATTTGCTGATAAGGTTTTTAGTGTGCTGGCCCTTTAAGGGTGGAGACTCATCCAGTAGCTCTCTAACTCTCCGGGAGTTAGGCCTCAGGATTTTTAAAGCCAGATGTTATGAGGACTCATCTTCCCAGGGCTGGGAGTGCTTGCTGTGGGGTGATCCCCTTGCTCCTCTGTGCTTGCGATACCCCTCCTGTTAGAGGTTAACTATCCTGGGGATTTGGTTTCCAACTGTGTCTCTGTTCTTCCTACCCTTTTCAATGTGGCCTTCTCTCTCCAACTAGCTGTGGAAGATCTGTCTGCATCTTCAGGTCATTTTTAGAATTAATTGCAGTAGATATACTTGTTGTCTTGGTATGTCCATTAGAGGAGGTGAGCTCAGGATCCTCTCACTTACCATCTTCCACAAACAGCAGAACCAGTTTATCCATCCCTTACTGCTACTTCTAGGTACTTTGGATGATACCCCCACTCCTCATGGGCTTCTTTCCTATAGGTACACTATCTTCATGAAACTCTTGTTGGTAATTTATGGACCCTGGAGTTTCACTTGGCCTCTCAGTTTATTAACAGAAACCCAAAAGAGGAAAACTTGTTCAAATGTTAACATTTGCAAAGATCTTAATGCAGTATTTTATAATACTCTGCATTGAACAAAATATATAATACATTAATTATTTCCTTCTTCTGGAAAATTCTGAGTACTCATGTTGAAAATGACAATAATTGCTGTTATATAGTTTGATTTATGAGTTTAAAGTGTTCAAAACAAGGCATAACTCATGGTGCCTGGGTGGCTCAGTCAGTTAAGCGTCTGACTCTTGATCTCAGCTCAGGTCTTGATCTCAAGGTTGTGAGTTCCAGCCCTGCATTGGGCTCCATGCTGGGTGTGGAGCCTACTTAAAAATAGAAACAAAAAAACAGAACAAAATATAAGGCATAACTCAAAACCCATCACCTTATAAAGATTGATGGATTTGACCACCTAAAAGTTAAAACCTATATGTAGAAGAGACATATATTCAAGAGAAATGATCAGCTAGAAAAACTATTTACCACATATAGGCAGATGATTGATACCCACTCTCAGTATATGGAACATCCTTATAAATTAGTAAGAGGGACACAAGATAGATATGAATGGATAGCTAATGGAAAAATAATACAAATAGCTATTAAATATTTGAAGAGATTATTGGTCTCATAGTTTTTAAAATACAAATTGGATCTACACTGGTGTTTTCTTAAAACAATCAGATTGGTGAACAATGCCCATTGTTGTTCAGTCTTGGAGAACACTTAATCAGTGCACATGACGTATAAACTGCTACAACTTTTTGGGGGGACAGACTAACAAGATGGAACAAAATGAAAAACATACATTGCAGAAAATTAATCTTAAGAAAATAATGAGTAAACTGGGTACTTTCAAATAGTGAAATACACTGTAGTCATTGAAAAGGATGGGGTAAATCCTTGTGCACTGAAATAGAAAAATGTTCATTGTAATTAGATAAATATATCTTACTTAATTTAAAACTTTGTATACTTATATGAAATGTGTCATCTAATAGACATTCAGTGCTACTAAAGACTCTATAGGTCAGAGGTAAATGTGTTTTGGGTTAGAAGTAGGAGGGTGGGAACTAAAACAGAATGGCAAGAAAAATTATTTTAAAAATATGTATTTTATATATGCCTCTTCAAAAAAAACTAGGAATAATATATACAGTCCTGTTGATAATGGTCTTCTTTGGGACGAGGGACATTGCCAGTTGGGTTCCCAGAGAGCAGACTTGAAGGTGGAGATTATGATGAGGGAGGTTTACTAGGGAGTGCTTTTGGGATCAACACCTATGGAAGGGAGAGGGAGGGAAGAATTGGCCTTAGTCAATTCTGTAGTTCTCAGAATGGAGGAACCAGAGCCTTTCAGACTTAACAGCCATTGGTAGTCATTGGGTAGGGATTGCCTGGGAAGGGGTGTGATCTTGCTGAGGCAATACCTGAAAGGGCTGACAGCTAGCTGGGGGCTGTTTCTGTATTAGTCCCAGCAGGTAGGCTCATCAGTGCCTTCATTCCTAAAAGGATCTGGGCAGCACAGCAGTCTACCACTTCTTCACTTTTTTTCTGTATTTAAAAATTCCTATCACATATATAAGAGAAAACAGTTCCTTTTTAAAAAAGAGAATGGCTATTGAAAGAAAGGTTTTAGGTTCAACTAGAGAATTTTTAACAGCACTTTTCACATCTAGTAGATGATGTATTCCAGGTAAACAAATGTTTGAAAGCTTCTAAGTTCAGCCCCTAGGTGATGGCCTCTATTTTCAGCTCAACAGAATTTGGTTTTTTGATACCATTAGATTTTTCCTATATAGACAAACTTGGGTGACTCTTCATAATTTTTTTAAAGATTTAAGCAGAACATTATTTTAGAAGATAACGTGTCAAATGGATATTAGTAACTTAAAAGACCATGTTTTCTAGTTTTCTATTATTTATATGGAAATTGATGTTGGACCTGTTGATAAATTGTTCAGAGCTAAGCTACTCTTCCTTAATGAATCCTAAAGTACTTTTTCCTTCCTTAGGCACAACTCCAGATGTTTCGAGCTCAGTGGATGTTTGAACTTGCTCCAGGTGTAGGCTCTAGCAATTTAGAAACTCGGCCTTGTAGAGCAGCAGCAAAAGGCTCTTTACTGAAAGCAGACACCAAAGGAAAGCAAGAACTGGCAAAGGAAGAAAAGTTAAGTATTATGGACATTGTGACAAAGTAACTTTTTTTTCCAGTTGCACATGAGAATTTGCGTGGTCTTAAGCAAGTGATCATTATAGTTGTGTTCTGGTGAAATAAGCACATAACTTATAACAAAACTTTTCCTCATGTGTGAAAGTATACCAGTATGTCCATCCTTCACTTCTGCTTCTAGGTACTTTGGATGATACCACCATTCATGGACTTCTTTCTGGAGGTACACTATGTTCGTGGAACTGTCGTTGGCAATTTATAGATCCCTGAGATCCATTTGGTCTCTAAAAGATTGATGCCTCTGAATTTATTAGCAGAAGCACTAAAAGAGAAAAAACTTGTTCAAATGTTAATACCTTTGCAAAGGTCTTAATGCAGTATTTTGTTAAAATTTGCATTGAACAGATGTATAATGATGCATTAATTATTTCCTTATTCTGGAAAATTTTGAAAGTGCTCACACTGAAAAAATTTTGAATGCTGCTACTTATGTGAACTAGGCACAGCACGCTTTCCATTTTTCCTATTCCATAGAGGCTATCATCTTTACATCAATTTTTCTTACAAGTGATTTGCCAGTAAATAATTGAAATTACCATGATAACTAAAAACTTCCATATTTGTTTTGTTTTTTTATTTTGAAACAGTTACAGAAACAGGTATAGGGAGGTCTTGTGTTGGTGACATCTTACATAGCTATAGTACAATGTCAAAAACTAGGAAATAGACTTTGGTTCAATGCACAGAGCTTATTCAGACCTCTCAAATTGATAAGCACTCCTTTGTATGTATGTATGTAAATAGTTCTATGCAGTTTTATTACATTGTGGCTTCCTTTAACCACCACCATGATCAAGATAAAGAACTGTTGGCACCACAGGGCTCTGTCAACACCTTTATAGTTGTACCCTTCCGTCCCCCCCTCCCTGACCATTCATAACCCCTGGCAATCACTAGTCTCCATTCCTATCATTTTGATACTCAAAAAATATTGTATAAATGGAATCATCTAGTATATAACCTTCTGAAGTGGGCTTTTTTCACTCAGCATAATTCCCCTGAGATCTATCCACGTTTGTGCGTAACGGTAGTTTGTTCCCTTTTTTTGCTCAGTAGTATTGCATGGTATGGTATACCCCAATTTGGTTATTCATCGGCTGAAGGACATTTGGGTTGTTTCTAGTTTTTGGCTATTAATAGAGCAGCTATGAATATTCATGTACAGGTTTTTGCATGAATGTAAGTTTTCATTTTTCTGGCCTAACAGTGCAATTGCTGGGTTGTATGGTAAGTGCCTGTTTGATTAAAAGAAACTGGCCAGTTGTTTTCTAGGGTGTCTGTACCATTTTATGTTCCCTGCAGCAATGTATGAGTGGCCCACGGTCTCCACATCCTTGTCAGCCCTTGGTGTTGTCGTTACTTTTTAGTTTTAGCTATTCTGATAAGTATGTAGTGATGCTTCATTGTGATCTTAATTTGTATTTCCCTGATGGCTAATGATGTTGAATACCTTTTCATGTGCTGTTTGTCATCTTTATATCCTCTCTGTACAATATGTTGTCTTTTCTAATTGTATTGCTTGTGTTTTGACTGTTAAGTTTTTGAGGGTTCTTTATGCATTCTAAATACAGTCCTTTGTTGAATATGTGGCTTTTAAATGCTTGTCTCAGCTTGTAGCTTGTATTTGCATCCTCAGGGTATTTCACAGAGCAAAAGTTTTTAATTTTTGATGAGATCCAGTTTATCAACCTTTCCTTTTATGGATTATGCTTTGGGAATTGAGTATAAGAACTCTCTGCCCAGCCATAAATCTCCAAGATTTTTTTTTTCCCTAAAAGTTAAAAGTTTTATATTTTACATTTAAGTCTGTGATCCATTTTTGAATTAATTCTTTTTTTTTTTTTT